ACTTTCAATTTTTTTTTTTTCTGGTTAATTGAAGTTAAGAATCTCATGGGCTTTAATATCCAGGCTGGTTTTGAATTACTATCCTCAACTCTCAGCCTCCTTCATAGCTAGGATTACAAGCAAGAGCAAGCCACTGACACCCAGCTTAGCAATAAGCCCTTCTCTCCTCTGTCATTAGTGGTAGGGAAGGTGGGAGCCACCTTGAAAGAAGAGAGCCTACAACTACCACAGGCAACAGGGAGAAGCCAGGCCAGGCTGCTGGCAAGTGTGTCATCCACATTTGCATCTGAAGGAGGTGGGTGGCGTTAATAAACGCTAATCACTCAGCTTTTTTCTCTGTTCCCTGGGGTAAGTCTACCCCACGTAGCCCTGTGTTCTGAGTTCTGGGAACAGCCTGTCTTCCTTCCTACCTTAGCCTTCCCAGTCTCTAGAACTGGCCCCTCCTCAGCACCTCTTCCAGGGCTCACTCCTGTCCTTCTCTTAACCCACTTGCCAGACATCTAGTGAAAACCACTGTCTTTCCTGTAGCCAGTGTTCTTCCTGTGAATTGGGACCCCATTCTAACACAAGCACTATCTTCCAACATTCCCCTTCCCCCCACCCCCCCCCAAAAAAAGCTGAGAGGCTAATAAGTTCATGCAGGGACAGGGAGACTAGAGGCTTAAGAAAGCTGGCTGGAGTTCAGAAAAGCAGTGGTTTACCATATGCACACACACATCCTTTGAAGGAGCAATTGATCCCACTCCTTATGTGTATCCAAAGACATTTTCACAGCAGCCTTTAAGGACAGATTAGGCCACCTGGCTATCCATTATTGGCAGAGCAGAGAGGTGAGTGCACCAGGGTCATGGCATTGGAGCACATGGCAGCAATATTAGCTGGTGGGTGAGCTATACATGGGCTCTATGCATGGACTATACAATGTGCCTTAGTAGCACTCTTGTTAGTGGGCAGTAATGCCCTTTGCCATGAAAAGGACTCAGAATTCTTCCCAGATGTGGATGACTCTAGGACTGAGCAGGGAAGGCTTGTGATGAATCTCCAGAAATTAAGGAAGCGTGTCTCAAAATGCTGTGAGTATGTCAGCAGCCCTGGGAAGGACTGGGCTACTGGGGTGGGGGGGGGCAGGTAGAGCTTGGTAGTAGAGTGCTTGCCTAGTGTGTTCAAGGCCCTGGGTGCCATCCAAGGAGCCATTTCAAGGGGCTCCCACTGGCCAAATCTGGAATAACATGAGCACCAAATTAATCAAATACAATAAAGACCTACAAATCACTAGACCCATGGGGGTCCATGTTAGTAATAAACTGGTTCATAAGAACAGAGAGCAGGCTATGGCCTACTTAGACATGCTGAGAGCTGGCTGGTATTAGAAGATCATTAGTTTGTGAAGATCAAATGAGTGAGAACCCTCTGTGTCTGCTAAACCTAGGGGCAAGAGATGTGAAATGTTGGCTAGGAGACGGATGTTTGCATGCTTCTTGAAATATGTCCCCGTGGATCTCTTGCTAATTGCAAAGGAAGGAAAAACCAATAGTAATTATGTAGTGGGGAAACAGAATGCCACACTGACCAGATGATCAAAATTAACATTCAAGATGGCTTTGTAATCAGTGCGGTGATTCATGTTTATAATCCTAGGTACTTGAGAAGGGGAGTTTGGGAGGATCACAATTCAAGGATAGTCAAAAAATTTGAGAGTTCTCCCATCCCAGTCAATGAAAAGTGAAGCATGGTGTGCATCTGTCATCCTAGCTATGTGGGAAGTATCAATAGGAAGATTGTGGTCCAAGCCGATCTGGGCCATAAATTTGAGACCCTGTTTGAAAACTAATGATGCCAGGACCTGAAGTCTCATGCCTAGAATCCTAACTATTTAGGAGCTGAGATCTGCTAGCTCAGACAGGAAAGTCCATGAGACTCTTATCTCCAATTAGCCACCAAGAAGCCAAACGTGGTAGAGCTCCAACCTTTAGCAAAAAAGCTGAGGGACAAGGCCCAGGCCCTGAGTTCAAGCTCCAGGATTGGCACACTCTGTGTGCATACACACAATAATCGATGATGATGATGATGATGATGGTAGCAAAAAGGGCCAAAGGAATGGCTCAAAAAAGAATGAGAAAGGATGGACCTTTTACCTCCTGGTGTGGTATCCTGAGAAAGACACATACTCCTGATCTCATCATAACACAAAAGGAAGGCTCTCTGTCACAGTGGTAGGAAGGGATGATGCCAGAAAGTAGTAGCGCTAGGGCTTCAGCCTGAGTGTCTGTCGCACTCCAGATCCAGATGATGTGCTCTGGCTCTTCACTTATAACAGCCTACTGGTATGAGGCGATCCACTGTTAACTCTGCATTTGCTGCAAAGTGGCTTTCTAGGTGATCTTTCAGGCATGCCCTGCTATCTGCACATCAATCCAGTGGATGATGATTTGAAACTAGATGTTCCATTTCTACACATTGGAGGTTGGAGAGCAGAGCTGTAGCTGGAGATAAATGGCTTTGCTTCTAGAGAACATTCCATGTGCGGGTGATGATCTGCATTGATCTAACCTGGAAAGTCCCAGACCAGAGACTCTCGCAGAGCAATGACACAGGAGGGAGGGAGGCCCGTGATGAGTCTTAATAAGGTCACATTTCTGCCCTAGGTGGGGCCACGACAGTCATGTCTCCCTCTTTAAGAGCTCACAGGGGGCAGAAAGGCAGGGCAAGATGGAGAATGGCCCCAAAGTCATTAAGAATTATACCTATGAGCAAATGCAGCCTCTTCTCTCTCAGCAAGAATATTCTTCCCTTTATGAGCATAATGCACTTTGTGTTTTTAAAGCCGTGCAATTCACTTGTCACTTATTTCATATGTTAGGAGTATACAAGTCAGTGTTGGTTTTTTTGTTGTTTTTTGTTTGTCAGTCGTAGGGCTTGAAATCAGCCTGCACATTGTCCCTGAGCTCTTTTTGCTCAAGGCTAGTGCTCTACCACTTTGAACCATAACTCTGCTTCCTGTTTTTGAGTGGTTAATTAGAGATAAGAGTCTCATGGAGACTTTTCTGCCCGGGCTGGCTTTGAACCATGATCCTCAGATCTCAGCCTCCTGATTAGCTAGGATTAGAGGCATGAGCCACTGGCGTCTGGCATGTCAGTGGGTTTTGACATAGGATATTATTGTTTAAAATTGTGACATTATACATAACAAATTTTGCCATTTTATGTATTGATTGAAACCGAGACTCACTATGTTACTGATGCTGACCTGGAACTCCCGGTGTAGCCCAAGCCGTCCTCAGACTCACCATTCTCCTGCCTCCACTTCTCAAGTGCTGGGATTACAGGCATGCCTTACTATCCCTGGCTATTTTCACCATTTCACTACTCAGTAGCATTAGTGACATTTACAGTATTGTACTCCCATGGACACCATCCATTTCTAAAAGGTTTCTACACTTAGGCACTCTAACTATTAAGCAATAATGCCTCAGTGCCCTTTCCCCAAGTCCCTTATAACTCCAACTCTATTTTCTGTCTCCATGAACGTCATTATTCTACATGCCTTCGAAAGGGAATAATACAGTACTTGTCCTTTGGTTCCTCCCCTCTCTCATTAGCAGTGTTGTCTGGGTTCATCTATGTCAAAATATGTATCAGAATTTCATTCCTGCCTGGCACTGATGGTTCATGCCTATAATACTAGCATCTCAGGAGGCTGAGATCTGAGGATTGTGGTTCAAAGCTAACCCAGGCAGGAAAGCCTGTGAAACTCTTATCTCCAATTAACCACACACACAAAAAAAAAAAACACAAGAGACCAAACAAAAAAACAAACAGAAAACAGTGCTGTGGTTCAAAGTGGTAGAGTGCTAGCCTTAAGCAAAAAAATGCGCAAGGAAGTGCCCAGGCCCTCAGTTCAAGCCCTAAGACCAACTTAATTTCTTTTTTTTTTTTGTCGGTCGTGGGGCTTGAACTCTGGGCCTGGGCGCTGTCCCTCAGCTCTTCAGCTCAAGGCGAGCGCTCTACCACTTGAGCTTATTGGAGCTTATTGAGCTTATTGGTTTATTGGAGATAGGAGTCTCACGTTCTCTCCTGCCCGGGCTGGCTTTGAACAGCCATCCTCAGATCTCAGCCTCCTCAGTAGCTAGGATTACAGGCATGAGCCACCAGCGTGAAAGCTTAATTTCTTTTTACAGCTAAATAATATTCCATGTGTATACTGATGGACACTTAGCTGTTGTGAATTGTTCTGTTGTGAGCTCTCCTATACCAGCATTTAAGTACCTATCTTTCATTCTTCCCATCCTACTAGGGGTCCATGTGCTGCCTCACATGGCAATCATATATACATATGTGTGTATATACACACATACACATACATACATACATATGTATATAGAGAGATATACATATGTATATACATATATATTGTCAGTTGTGGGGCCTGAACTCTGGGCCTGGGCACTGTCCCCCAGCTCTTCAGCTCAAGGCTGAATGCCACTTCTGGCTTTTTCTCCTTATGTGGTGCTGAGGAATCAAACCCAGGACCTCATGCATGCAAGGCAAGCATTCTACCACTAAGCCACCTTCCCAGTCCCAGCAATCCTATATTTTAACTTTTTGAAGCAACTTTTTTTGTTTTGTTTTGTTTTTTTAATCAATCATGGTGCTTGGCCTCAGGGCCTGGAACCTGTCCCTGAGCTTCTTTTGCTCAAGGCTAGCACTCTACTTTGAGCCACTTCTGGCTTTTTCTGTGTAGGTGGTACTGAGGAATTGAACCCAGGGCTTTATGCAGTCTAGGCAAGCACTCTACCACTAAGCCACCTTCCCAGCCCACAACTGATTCTTGTTCATAGAAGCTCTTACCTCCAAGTAGCTGCAGATATCCTGGAGGGCTCCTGATAGCCCCTACCACTGTCCCTGTAGCTAGAGCTGAGCGCTTGTACCATGGCATGTGCATGCTCCATTGCCCTTCTTTGTGTGCCCACCCCTCTAACCTCTCCCTTCTGTTCCCACAGATGTGCCAGTGGAGAAGCTGGCCGCCATGCCTGCCCTGCGCACCATCAACCTCCGCTTCAACCCACTGAATGCCGAGGTGCGCGTGATCGCCCCACCCCTCATCAAATTTGACATGCTCCTGTCTCCAGAAGGCGCTCGGGCCCCTCCACCGTAGACCACCCTCCTCGTGCCCACCCAGCAAGGGACAGTGGCCACTGGCCTGGCACCCTGAGAGGAGGGAGACCCAGGGGCCCATAGGAGGGCAAACTTGGGGGAGTGGGGATGGGTGGGCTGACCAGCGCAGAGTGAGGGGCGCAGCCAGGCCTGGATAGCTAGCTTAGTGCTGTAGGCAGCCTGGGATGCCCAGAGGGAGGAGGCCAGGGCCCACCTGAGCCTAAGCTCTAGGCACTCATAGCTGCTATGCAAACTTGGGTAGAATTCCTGCCCTCTCTGAGCCTTGTTACTTAGAGGAACAATGGTGATGGGGAGCCTTTGCCTGTTTTGAGACCCTGGGAGGATTTTCCTCCACATTCTCAGACACCCCCCCCCAAGCCTGTAGATGAGCCCTGCTGAACTTCTGGGGGTGGAAGGGATCTCTTCGTGTTAGAGGTCTTATTCCTAGTACTGAGAAGACACCTATTTATTGCTTCCTGAGAACTGAGCTGGATGAAGCTTTTCACAGTGCCCTGGTCTTGGCCATATCCAAGACTGGCAGGAACCAGAATCAGGATTCCTCTGGATGCTGTGGAGGGTGTGGCATGGCCCTACAGCTGGGCGAAAATAGTTATGAAGAAGCTTGGGAGCTGCAGGATGAGACACTGGGGAGCAAATCAAGGCTGCTCTGTAACTTCCTCATGATTAAGAAATCCGTGGGGCTGGGCACCAGGCTGGCTCACATCTGTAATCCTAGCTCCTTGGGAGGTGGAGATCTGAGGATCATGGTTCAAAGCCAGCCCAGGCAGGAAAATCTATGAGAACCTTATCTCCTATTAACCATCAAAAAACCAGAAGTGGTGCTATGGCTTAAAGTGGTAGAGTGATATCCTTGAGGAAAATAAAGGCTCAGGGATAGTGCCCAGGCCCTGAGTTCAAGTCCCATGATAGACAAAAAAAGAAGAAGGAGGAGGAGGAGAGGAAGGTGGTGGCAGGGTAGAGAATTCTGGGTGCCTCACCCCTCCCTATGAATGACGAGGGCCTGCCTGGTCACCGCCCCCTGAGCCACAGCAGACTGGTCCAGAGACAACAAAGCTACCTATGCCTGTGGTTCTGGTCCCAGACATTAGATGACCACCCTCACTTCAGCCTTCCTCCAACAGTGGCCTGGCTATTCCATCTAGCCCCTGGGAACAAAGGCACCACAGATCACCAGATATGTGACGAGCCAGCTTGGAGGCCACCACCAAACCCCAATCATCTGACCATTTGGGGGCCCTCTACCCAGATTCTAGGGATGATTATTCAGCCTAGGACTGAGAGGTTTCCCATGGGACTCTCATTGCTAATGACAGTGTAGTTCCAGGCAAGCAGGAATGGCTGGCCCTCTACCAGGAGAAGGCTGAGCTCTTGTTCTGGGTAAAAAATAAAAACAAACAAAAACCAGCCTCTGCTTTAGAGAAGCTGCCTAGGACTCTGCCTCCCACACCTCCCCTGTGCAAGCAATGGGTTCTGCTGCTGCAGACTCCCGCTGGCCTAGAGCTTTTGTCTAGTTCTGTGGAGGCTCCTGACACTCCAGGACATGGGCAGAGCTAGGCTGCTTCCACCATTCAGAGCAGGAATCCCAACTCAGAATGTCCTCCACATCCCTTCCCTGGCCCAGGAGCTCACAGGTTAGACCAAAGACCCAGCCCTGATCACTGAGTCCCAGAGAGTCCTACTATCCCAAGACCTGGTCTGCCGAACACTGGGGGGAAAAAGTCTCCAAGGGAAGATGTCAGGACATCTCCAGGGCTACTGAGAATAGCTGTGGATAATTGAGACAGCGAAGGCTGAATTGCAGTCTAGGCTGGTATGCCCATCCCACCCCCACCCCCACCCTCATGTCTTGGGATGAGGATTGTCCAGATTGCACAAAGGCTGGTGAGAAATGCAGTCTTGGCCCAGTATGGTGCTGCACATCTGTGATCCCAGCTCTCTGGAACCGGAGGCAGGAGGTCAAGAGTTTGAGGCCAACTTGGCATTTTAGTGAGACCTTGTCTCAAAAATAGAATAATGAAAATAAAAATGCAGAGGTTCAACCCCACTCCGTACACACACACCCGAACACACACAGGTTTTCTGAGTCAGAATCTGCATTTTTCACAAGATCCCCAAATGACTAATCACTTTACGTATAACTGTCACATGTCCTGGGAGGGTAGGAGGAAAGCTCTCCCAGCTCTCCCCTCCTAACCAGCCCTGGGAAACCCTTGGCCTCTTAGATCTTTCCAGAATGCTTGACAGTCCCAGCAGTGGGAATAGTCATGGTCACCAGGAGATGCGGTGCCTGGCCCTCTGACCCTAACTCCGGTTTGTTCCCATGTGCCTACATCCCCAGGTCCTCTCCTCAGGCCCTTTGAGGGGATTGTTCTAGAAGCTGTTTTCTGCTCAGCTTACACTGTGTGCCCTGGCTTCTCTGAGCAAGCTTGGGCAACCGGAAAAACCCCCAAATCCAAGCTCCCAGTGTGATTGAGCCAAAAGCTTCAGTTTGCAATAAAGATTGTGTTGGCTCCTATCCCTGGTTGGTGTTTGATTTATCTTACACAGCCCTCCAGGAGCCTGATACCTGCACACCTGCAAAGAGGAACTGCCCCCTCTGTGGGCAGCACAAAGTAAAGGCAGCTAGACCAAGCTAATACACAGAACAGTCTCAGGTGGGCCCAGGTGCAGCAAAATGGTCCACAGGCTGCTGCTGCGGAACAGCCAGTGTTGGCCCTGGGGGAAGCCCATGGGCCCTGGGGAGGGATGGAGAGACCTGCCAGCCCCATTGCCATGGTTGGTGCCACCATTTCCCCCACTTGTTATTTGTTCCTCTGAGCCTATGGTCCTCAAAGAGGGGCTGTGGACCACAACAGCACCAGGGAGGTGTTAGAAATCCTCAACCCGCCTCAGAACTGTGGAGTCAGACATTCAGGCCAATGTGGGCCTGGTTCGGAATCTGAACACTCCATTTCTGAGCTCTAAATGTTCTAAGTTCAAGGTGAAGTTTGCATTTTATTTTGTAACTGAGAAGCCCACTTGAGTTTGTCCTCAATAACAGTTCAGATTCCATGAGAGGCCTGAGCTCAGTGGGTGCCAGGCAATGTCTAAACATATTACAGATGTTAGCTCATTTTATCCCCTGGTAATCCTAGCTAGCTTCCCCCCACCCCCCTGGCAGGCCTTGTCCATCTGTAAAGTACAGAGGCTGTACCAGGAGATCCCAAGGGCCTTTCTGGAGCTCATAGTCACTACCCAAGATCAGCTATCCCCTAGGGATCAGCCCCTTATACCAGAGGTCAGAGGCCAAGTCTGCCAAATCCAGTTCACCTGCACAAAGGCCTGTCCCACTCTGCCTACCTTTGGGGAGTCCACTGCAGTTTCCTCCTAGGGTATCTGAGATGGCGTAGGAAGGAATGAAACTTTGGCACTGACTTTAGGCAGGGCCTTTCATGGCAAGGGAAGAAGTCTGGGTCAGGATTTGGTAAAGATCATGGCCTAGGTTAGGATAGGTGGAGACAGTGGAGGGGCATTTCAAGGTAAAGGTTCAGAGTTTGGGGATAGAATGTCTCTCGGTGCTACTAAGCATTTAGGAGACCTGGGCACCAGTGGCTCTTGCTTGTAATCCTAGCTACTCAGGAGGCTGAGACCTGAGGATCACAGTTTGAAGCCATCCCAGCAGACAAGTGAGAGACTTATCTCCAATTAACCACCAAAAAGCCAGAAGTGGAGATGTGGTTCAAGTGGTGTAGTGCCAACCTTGAGCAAAACAACATAAGAGATGGGGGTAGGGGTTTGCATAGGAATGGAGGGAGGAAGAGTGAGTAAATACAATCATTCAATGCACATTATGTAAATATTTGAACTATGTAACAGGGTCGGGGATGGGAGGGAAAATGGGGGAAAACATGGAAGGGGGTGACATTGATCAAGATGCATTATATTCATAACCTAACTTATAGAACTGAAACCCTTTGTACAGCTACTTTAAAAAAAAAAGGGAAAAAGGGGGTGGAGGGCTGGTGGCTTATGCCTGTAATCCTAGCTACTCAGGATGCTGAGATCTGAGGACCATGGTTCAAAGCCAGCCCATGCAGGAAAGTCCATGAGACTCTTATCTCCAATTAATCACCAGGAGACCAGAAGTGGTGCTGTGGCTCAAGTGGTAGAACACTAGCCTTGAGCTGAAGAGCTCAGGGACAGTACCCAGGTCCAGAGTTGAAGACCTATGTCAGATAAAAAAAAATTTAAAAAGGACAGTGTCCAGGCCTTGAGTTCAAGCTCTAGTACTGGCACACACACACACACACACACACACACACACACACACACAGAGCGTTAAGTAGTTTAATGTTCCTTTAAATGATTCTGGAAATTCCTGGGATAAGCAATAGTTCTTTACATCTGACTTGTGTGTATGAGTTTCCTGGAATTGTGCAGCTAAATTGAAGAAGTTGAAGAACTGATGGAGCTAATGCAGACACAAAGCTGAGAGTGACTACCAGTTTTTCATGATAAATTTCCCCCAGAATACTGTATTGAGCCCTAGAATACTTTGAAGCTGCTCTTTAGAAGGCGTAGGTCCTTTCTCAGAAATCCAGCCAGGGGAGCAGGGAGTTCTTGGCAGGGTGAATTGGCAGCCATCTCAGAGGCCTCTATAGAGCCCTGGGAGAGACGCCAAGACCAAAGGAGGCAGGCCTGGAGAAGAGCTTGGCTCTGGGATGCTGGGTTCAACCTGTATGCTGACTGGTGTCTGTGCCAGGGAGGCCTATTCCTAAGAAAAGGGACATGTCATAAGTGAAAGGATCCATCACATCCATCCCAGGAGACCACACAGAGGCAGTCCGGCACAAGAGAAAGATTATTACAAGGTTTATTAGAGGAGCCATACTTCCCCCGGAGAGGGAGCACATGGCACCCTCCACTATCTAGGTAACAGCAGGGTCTCGCAGAAGTAAGAAGTGAGGTAGATGGGAGCTCAGGTGGGTCTGGGTAGAGAGAGGGAGAAGCCAGCTATATGGCGGGAACTCCTGGACAAGGAGGAG